ATTGCATAGGCACTGAACTTTTCACATGTTCTGTGATTTTTCTCTTTGTTTTTAATGATTATTCATGCCAAAGAAGCATGCCATGTTTACCTCTACTCTCTTCAATATGTCCACCTTCAATATGCCTACTGTGAATGCATTCTAACTTTTAAAATTTGCACTGGAAGAAACACTTGGAAATTTGCATTTACCGCCTCTAAGACTCCTCCTATGACATATTGGTCAAAAATTGGCAAGCGTTAAAGACATTCTGCTGGATTTGCAGAATGCCCTAAATTGTAAACTGTGATTTACAGATCACAATGGCTCTACAAGAAGACCAAATAAATTTCCTCCCAGTTTAGTGTGCATGAACCAACTGACTGGCCTTATGGAATGGCCGAAAGACATGGCTTTTTCATCTGGCCTGGGAATTTGATAGTGGGTATATGGCTTACAGAATGGCTGTACTCTTCTTGAGAGTGATTGTAGATTACGGTTTTGCATGGTCTTAATCATTATTGCTTTAATTGCCTTTTGTTGTTAAATTTTGGTTATTTTTATATTGTTTTCATGTTTTTAACTCAGCAAGTCTCCCAGAATCATGAGAGATGGTAGCCAAGTCACATAAATACAACTAGTCCTCAATCTAGGACCACAGTTGAGCCCAAAACTTCTGTTGCTAAGTGAAACGTTTGTTAACTGTATTTTGCCCCATTTTACGACTTTCTTGCCATAGTTAAATGAATTACTGCAGTTATCACGTGGGTAACACAATTAAGTGAATCTGGTTTCCCCATTGACTTTGCTTGTCAGAAGCTCACAAAAAGGTGATCATATGACCCTGGGACACCACAACTGTAACAGATATGAATCAGTTGCCAAGTATCTGAATTCTGTTCACATGATCATGGGGATGTTGCAATGGTTGCAAGTGTAAAAAACGGTCACAAGTCACTTTTTTCAGTGATGCTGTAACTTCAAATGGTCACCACATGAAGAGTTGTAAAGTCGAGGATTACCTGGAACTCAGATTAATAATACAAAACTTGTATGTCATTAGGATTGCTGCCTTTTACAAAAATGACCAATTGCCATTTCCATTTTAGACAATGTACCATTGACAAGAGAGCGGTATTTCTTGGCTGGATTGGATCACAATGTGTTAAAAACCTGACTCTCTAAACATGTCCCATGACTTTTGATCTTTTTACCCAGAAATTTCCTCGAAGGACATCAGGTCACGAACAAGCCAACATACTTGGGGAAGAGGTTGATTTTTCAACACACAGAGTGGGCAGGGAAAGCATCTCAATCAGTTCCACCCATCAGAATAGAGCTGGAAGGGACCTTGGAGGTCTTCTAGTCCAACCCCCTGCTCAAGCAGGAGACCCTATACCATTTCAGACAGGTGGCTGTCCATTTTTTTCTTTAAAAACCTCCAGTCATGAAGCACCTACATTCTCCCTCATCCCTCAGGGTAACCTAGTCTTCTCCTAACCGCCCATCCCACGTTTCAAAAGTCAAGGGAATGGCGTTTCCATCCCTTTAGGGCAGGGGTGTCCAACCTTGGCAACTTTAAGACTTGTGGACTTCAACTCCCAGAATTCCTCAGCCAGCTGTGCTGGCTGAGGAAT